TTATTTACAATTTTATTTATTACTTTCTAAAAGATAAATTTTCAATTAATACTCAAGAGGCAGCCTCCTTTCTTTTCCACGTATAAACGCTTTCATTTCATAACTTATTCCCCATCGTCATTAGTTTAATGTTCATTATGTATTCACATTATTGAATTTATTGTAGTTCTTCCTTAAATCGAATCATTTTAGATAAGCTATATATTATTAGTTTGTTTTCAAACACTTATACACTCTTTTATAAGTACTTTCTAAGATTTGTGTACTTAAACCTTAACCTAAGTTATAAGCCCTTTTTTATATAACCACCATTGACGAATTAAAAAATAATAATAATAATAATAATGATAATAATGATAATGATAATAAAAACAACAACAATCTAAGCTTAACTTTCATGTATTTTTAGAAGAGTGTTAAGGAAAAAATATGTAAAATAAAGAAGAATAAAAAGCAACAGCGCGTATAAGAAGATTATCGGCGGTTTTGATTCGATTTTTTTTACTACATTTCATATCAGTTAAATATATCAATAACGTCTTTGTGAAAGTGTCAATATAACTAAATGGTCGAGCCGCGTTAGCCATGCACTTGCTTGGTTGCATGTTTATGAAATATTGTTGACTCAATTATTAACGAAAATATTATATTTGTCTGTTATTGTCTGGCTATTGAATCTTTAAAGGATTAAAATACATATTCAATCCGATATAAAGTAAGATTCGAAGGTAAGTAACGCTATTTCTATTATTATCCCCGCTCATACTCGATGCATCGTAGATCATCGTACTATTTTAGAATTCTAAACGAGTTCGAATTTAACTTTTGAAAATGAATCAGATAATCAGAGATTGTCGATTTTAGCGTTTGTCCTTTCAAAAGTTCAGCGAACACAAGTGAGCAAATTATCTTAATTGTCATACATTGGCGCGATGCTCGTTTCTCGTGATAACTTATGCAAAACCAAATGGAAGTACATTTCATCTACATATCGTAACGATTCTACAAGCCTATGTTTGCTTCTAAAAGTATGTAACAATTGTCTAAGGCTAGACTTCTAAAGTCATCCAGAAAATGCCTTCTAATTATTTTTCTTGATTCTTAAATTAACTTGCACTTCTTCTCAATGTCTCTCTTCCCCATGTCAATTTTCATCGTGCACTTCGTACGCGTATTAAATTGTTCACAAAAAAAAAGTAACAATAATAGTGGGGCAAAGTCACAATTAGATGCTCCGTATCATTTCGTCTGATACAGTCACTCACTCGTTTTGTTGATAATGTGCATTATTTTCATACAAAGGGGAATACTTTTCATGAAAAACCGCATATTCGATGATCCCGAAGACATCAGATAATTTTATTCAAATTTAGCAAACTTAATTTAGTTCCTATTAATATTATAATTAGACTTTCTCTCTATGATAACCCCTATATATGTTGGATTCAAAAAAAAACTGCCCCAGCCAAGTCGAATTTTTCATACCAATTCAGAACGTGAAAATACTATTACTAAGTGACTATTGTCGAGAAAATTTTTTTTTTCAATTAACTATCTTTCAAAACAAAACATTATATATATGGAGAGTGGTCGAAAAATCGAAGCGATTTGAATCATTTTCAATATTGTGCGTCGTCCTTCGGTCGAAGCGAAAATTGCGCTTAGAAAAATCCAGACAATGATTCTAATTCAATTTGTATAATTAAAGGCGGGTCAATTTCAAGCCCTTCTCATGTAGATTACAATTATTGCAATACAAATGAGAATGAGCCTTGTTTTACTTCAAGAGGAGAATAAACGTTCACGACTAAGTTGGATTATGTTAAAGGAGAGATAATTTAGAACATTTAGAAAAGAAGCGGTTACATAAATAAGGCTCCCATAATTTGCGCCAAATGTTTCCTTCTCGACCATTGGCTTTTATGCTAGCGCCTGCCTTATCCTGGGCTATTTTTTTGCATACTTTTTCTATAGGAATGAATGAAAAACTATGGAAAAGCATACCTAATTCAGTCTTTCGTTTCACTTTTTCGAATATCATCAAGTGCTCAAGTACATCCACCCCGATTGGATGCCGTGGTATTAAGTCTTAAATAGACATGCAACGGTAATCAATGTCAAACACTAGAAACGCGATTTATCGATTCTCTATACATCCTTTATAATTTTACTGTGTCCTACGATACTTACACGCACGTAGCACGTCACCCTTATAATGCCATTATTTTTGATTGATACCTATTTTCTAAAACTCTAAATAAAAATATGTCAGATTGTCACCGATAAAAACTTAATATTTCTTGCTTATGTGTTGAGAGCAAAAATACTCATAAATATCTATTATAATCAAAAAAAAAAAAAAAAAAAAAAATTCGTCCGAACACAACGTCACTGCACATAGCGTATAGCGTTCTTACTTCAATTCAAAAGATTTTGACTCAGATGTTACATTGGTATTTACTTCATCTAATAGTAACACATTAGTATTATGCGGGCAGGCAATCTATTGAAAGCTAAAACGTTGGCTTTCATACAGAATACACACTTCTTACACATCGGTACGAATAATTCTCTTCCTCGCAAAGCGCGTTCATTGCGATCAACCATATCTTGCAAATTAAATACGCAACGGTGTACTAAGACCCCCCTATATTAAAACCTTGAGCATTTATATTTGCGAACGATAAGATAACAATCGTCGAATGCCCTATAGAAATTCCTATTGAAAACGCTAGCTAAAGGCCGCCTCGGCACAATAAAATATGATTTCATCGCATATCGCGTTTTACAAGGAAACAAGTCTGTTGAAGCAAAAGGGACCTCACGTATATAGACGGATGCTAAATGCCGGATGCCCTATGACGGATGGATAATGAGTAAAGTAAATCTTCCGATCATAATCGAGATCAAATGATAATTTTTTAAAAATTTCGCACTTTATGATTCTCGGCAGCGGTGATGTCTTACCCTTTTAAACTTGCCTTGACCATTCTACGAACAATGTACGCTCGCTTTATAAAACTAAATTATCTCGTCGTGCTGCGACCTCATCCTACAAAAACCCGGACAATTATTAAACATATTAAATTTTTTAGCAGCAATAAGTCTAATAATTCACTCTTTAAAAATCTATTATTGTAAATTAATTCTTTGCACAATACTCTTCAAGATTTTTAGTTGCGATTAAAAGAAAAAATTGTTTTTACTGTTATTTATCCATATCCCCTTTTCAGATTTGTGATTTTTAAATGGCAAAAAAAAAAAAAAAATGTTTTCTTAAATAATGCAAGACATTTAAATGACAATCCGGTACGATCCCGAATAATGACAACGTACTCAGCGCATAGATGCTACTATACATGCTTTTTCCTTTATTACGCCTCTTTTTATCTTCCCACAATTCATATTTTAAATTATTTTATGCGATACATACATAAAAATTTATATCAATAATTTAATAAAAAAATATATATATCATTTAGAATCTTTAAATAACAATTCGTTTTAAATATATTTTAAATTATTTTTAAAATTTTTTTTTTTTTTTTTTTTTTTTTTTTGTGATGACAGCTTTTCATAGAGAAGACACAAGATATAATTTTTGCGAATCTTAAAATAATAAAAAAAAAAAAAAAAATGTTTTTAATATCGTTAGACTTGTAAATTTTCTGAAAAGAGCAACACTTTAAATAAAACGGAAAAAAATCCTATCGACAATGATACGGAATCGAGCAGGGACAGTGAAAGCGACCAACCTCAGCCGATGGCTTACACAGGCGAGATGAGAAGTAAGGACAAATCAATTTCAAAGATTGGATTGTCGTAGATCGAGATTGGCTTGACATTTTCCAACTCTTGCAAAGACTTTTCATGCCAACTCATATCAATTGCATGCAGAAGGCTGATTTAACCATAGCGCACCATTTTCTCAATAGTGTTATATATCAATGCGAAGCAGATGGAAATGAGAGTTATGTTGAAAATGATATATTTGAGGATAATATTATTTTTGGTATAATTACGATATTTTTTTTTTTTTTTTTTTTTTTTTTTTTTTTTAAACTTCAAAAATTCGATTCATTCCAGTAATCAAACTTATGCATAAAAAAAAATGTAAATATAGATAGATCAAAAAGGTACTATAATAAAGACGTACCGCTACTTGCTATTACATACATACAATCAATTTACACGCCAAAGGAACGTATCTCGAGCAAATAGAAACGAGAATAAAATTTAGAAAAAAAAGAAAAATGCAATAAATAAAATAATTCGTTATTACCTTTGAAACCAAATTGATTGAAATATGGGGAAGAATGAATGACATTCAAAGCAGGAACAGGAAGATATATGAAATCATTAGAAAATGATTTCAGTTTTCTTCAACTGCAACGTAAATTACACTTTTGATCTCGTGTATATATATTTTACATATTTTATATATTAGTCGCCGGGTCATCTCATTGTCCGTGTAGTTCACAAACACATATTTAAATTGTGTTGTGCTGCTGTTAGAATCTGTAAAGATATAGAAAATCTATTAATCCGAGTAAATGGAAAATCGTATCAGATTTGTTTTATGTAATAAATCAGATTTATTCGATAAAAAAATATTGCAGACATGCTCATCTGTCAATTCAATTGCGTATAAATGATTTTATTGCATTGTCGTCAGTTTTCAAATCCACATATATCGAAATTGCCTAAAGCATTAACATCATTAGTGTTTAGATCAGCGTTCGACCCGGCTGAAAAGCCATTAAGATATGCTTCGCTTTCCCCTTTTAGTTCGAATAATGTAAGAAATGTATTTTATAGGTTTCCGTCAATCTTAAGATAAACTTGCGGAGGAGAATAAAAACTTGAAATAATTCAGAGTTGAATTGCGTAGCTTTTCACACACATATCAACAAAGTAAGCCATTGTCATTTTAATCAGGTACTCCATACCTCCCGCCACTTAGTAGGCTATAAAGCATTATGGAAACCATCTATAGTGCTTAGAAGAGCTGTGACTGTCTCATTGATAAATAAAACTTTTCAAAAGTTGTAACACGAACATTTATGTTATCTGTTTGCGGAAATTAGAATCAGGAAAATGTCGCGAAATGCGTGCTTTGAAGAATTAACCAAATGAAAATGCTATTATTGAAAATAAAAATGCTTAAACCTAATCAATAATGAATTCTACCGTAAACGTTAAACGGCCAGAATAAATGACACCTTAACCAAAGAATAAAAAAAGAAGCAAACGTTCGCATGGCAAGAGGATCCATCCTGCCGCGATGAAATATTGTCTCTCTGCATGTAGGTTTGTCTCGATTACACCATAAATTTCTATACCTATTATATTTGCGTCGAAATTATTTTTGAAAATCCACCCCATGAATCGAAAATATATATCATTTTTTAGATCCTAGAATGCCTAGAATGAATAAAGTTGGATACCAATTTTGAAAGCTTCGGGATACACTAGAAAGTCTCTAGCATGCCTTCGTTTATATAAATCATCAGACGATATGAATTTATATAGATTTTACCTTTACCTATTTAAAACAATGGGGTTTCAACTTTTAAATTTAACATTAGTAAGTAGTAAAATTAACTATCTTCTTTCCAGCAGCTATTCGAAAAAATTTTCACACTAAACAATTAAATGTGTATTGAGAGTATCTAAACATAATATACATTACAAAATTTATATAAAAATATAACCAGATGGGGAATAATGAAAATAAACGTTAAATTTATACTCGCGTTTTTTTTTTTTTTTTTTTTTTTTTTGATTAATGCAAACTTACAATCCTTAGCTGTTTAATTTGATATCGCCAAGTGTTTGTATTAAATTATTCCTGCTCATGTTGGTCACTTATTTGCTTGAAACAGCTGTGTTAGTCCACTATTTATAGTGGTATCGAATAAGTCGGTTGCTGGGTTTTTCATTTTCGCCGATGGCATAGGCGGTAAGTTGGCAATTTTTATTTCATGACGAAACAACTGATTCACAGAACGCCCGACCAGAGGAGCAGTGAGCTTTCTAAATAAATCCTTTTTAGCTTTATCCACTTTATTGCCTTTGACCGGTGCTACAGCGATCTTTTCGTCAAATTTCTGAATGTCGCTGCTGCTTACATTTGGTACACTTTGTAAAACTTCTGCCAAGGCAGGAAATTTAGGTCTTAACAATTCGTAGAATTGTACTCCTAAAGTTATAAGACCCGCCTGATTAGCCTCATGCTGGCCGTGCACTTGAAGTCCTCTTAACACGGCGGTAAACGCGCTAACAGCTTTGTTAGCATCCATTAGTTGTTCAGCGGCTAGAAAACGCATAACGGGTGCCGCTACATTTACAGCTTTCAAGTTACAAGTACCATCATTCCAAGACAAAGCACTAAGCAAAGTCATGAGTATGTAATTGCTGGTATAAGAATTGCGCAATAATTTAGCTCCTAAGTCACTGATAATGTCAGATAGTAAAGCCGCTTGCGCTGCTCGGCTATGGATAACACCATCCATTGAGTGTTCGTCTGGTTCCATTGTTACATCGGATACCATATTGCCAGTGGTATTGGAATGGGTTATTGCTATTGTTTCTGCGCCTATTTGTCCACCTACCAAAGCAATCTTTAGCACATCCAAGTATTCGCGGGTCAAAGAACGATTTAGCATATCTTCCAACACTTCTTGTGTATCATTAGTTTGTTCCTCATTGCCAAGTTGACCCGATTCATAGAGGGAAGTTATGTAAACCCAGCGTGCTGTTAAACGATTAAACAACAAAGGAGAAATGTGTGCAAAAATGGGTAAGAGTACCACATCGTAAAAAGCTGGTGGGCAGGAATAAACAAACGGTTTAAAGAAAACACGTATAATGGGCCTAAGACGATAATCGGGCACGTCTTCTAGACAGGAAAAAGCACTATTAATTAAAGCATTTGCCACTCCGTCTAATTGGTAAAGGTGTCGACCCAGAGATGGACCTGCCGAACCCATCATATGATAGCATCCTTCATACAAAGAGACCATGAATTGTTGCATTTTATCGAAAGGTGTGGGTGGCTTCTTAATGGTAGGATCCAAAGGATCTGTGGGCACAGCAAAGACTCCCATAAGTACCTAAAAATTATAGTTGAAAATTAATTAAATTATTTGTTATTTTAGCCCACTTACTTTTTTCTCATGTTCCGGCATGGAATGAATATTACGATAAGCTTGAGTCAAGGCAGCCAAAGCTTCTGGCTTAAAAAGTTCGTTTAAAACGCGCAGTAAAGCCAAAATATGTCTCAACAAGGGTATAACATGTGGTGTAGCGGGATTGCGGCATATTGGATTACCAATTTCTGTGTGTCCAACCACGAAACCACCGCGCGATGCTCTATCTGGATCATCTGGCCAAGTGCACCGCTTGATGACACCCAATACCACATGCAAAGCATGTAACAGAGAACTACGGTGGGACCGGCAAGGATCATTCTCAATTGGATACACTGGTGGTTGATCCAAGCCGACGAAATGCATAAAGTCCAAGGCAGATTTGAAAGCCTGTGAAAAAGCGTCCCATTGCGGGATACTATCACGCAGAACCTCACCAACGAAAGTAGATTGACGCTCATAATCGCAAAAATGATTAGAAATCAAGAGCAAGGCCTCTTGCAAAGTAACGCGTTCGGTATTACTTATAGGATGTTGTGGCTGTTGACATATTGTCTTAATGTGCGTATTGATTTGCTCAAAAACCGGCAAAAGCAGTAAAGGATATTTATGACCCAATTTTACTATCAAAGAAGCTGCATGACGTCGCAAGTTTTTACAGGCTTGAGAACGTGTGCTGTAGCTGTGATGTAAAGACGCCGATTCATTAGGATCGCGAAACACTAAGGCGGCAAAAATTTTCTCTAACACCCGAGGCAACAAGGACACACCGGTCATGGCCACGCAATTGTTGGATGTTATCTGACATGACGACATACTTAAGAACACAAACAATGCCGAAATGCAAGACAATAGTATAGAGAGTATTAACGGATTATCTGTATTCAGTTTTAAGCATTCTTCTAACAAATGTAGACCTGACTGTACTGAAGGTCTTTCCGAAACTAAAAGAATACGGCTGAGCACCCCGTCAATAACTGAAACTAAAGCTTCCCATTCCAGATAAGTAGGATCTAAGACACTGCATTGAACGTTACCACGCTCGGTATGGGCTTTGGCTAAACGCACATTAAGCCATTGCTCACAGTAGCCGAATGTAACCAATGGCTGCACAAGTGTGGATTGGCGAAATATTTCCAAAAAATCAGTACGGCAGCGATAAAAGAATACCGCAAAATCCTCTTCGCAATCATATTCTAAGCACACATAAGTGGTCGTCTTTGCTGAAGCTTCACTGCCACTATCTGCGAATGATCTGGTAGACGGGTAAGAAGTTTTGATTATACGTGGAGCGACAACTTCAATTATTTTGGGTATGTAAGCAACAACTGCAGGATCTTTAGAAATTGATTCATGTTTTAATAAAACGTTCCAAATTAATGTAGCCCCATGGGCAATATTCAACGATCCATGACGTGTTAATGATAATAAACATTCTAGAAACACCTCAAATTGTGGTGGTCTTTGTAAAGCACCATCCTCTTTTCCCCATAGCAAGACCAATTGTTGAGCCATGCCACTTAAAACTTGCACCAACTTTTTAAGAAAATTATGATTTTGTTCTAAAGCAGCTGATGTTGCGTCGACAGGCATCGTTTGGCTGGCACTGTATATATAGCGCATAGGTTCTTCGCCATAGAGCAACAGCAAAGGTTTGCGTTCCTTCACTTGACCCTTGCGGTTTGTGATCTGCGATAGGCACTCGGCTGCATTGGACTGGAATGCTTTGTCATTCAATAAAATGCATAAAATCTGCAATAGTTTACCATTGCTGCAGGTAATATGATTAATGGAAACCCATTCTGCAAAACCAGTCAACGTAAGTAACACTACCTCTACCACACGGCTGTGTGCGCTGGCATTTTGAAAGTTACAGCGAGCTGTGGACTCGCGGAATGAGGTCACATGCAACTCTATCAGACGCAGGAAAAACTCGAAAATGTCGTTCATATTATTGGTTAAAGCTTGATACATATCCTTGCGCCGTTGATTAGATTCAATTGTTTGCAACAGAGCTACATCTTCAACCAAACGCAGGAATACCAACAATACTAATTCAGTCTGAGCCTCTCCTTTAGTGCAAGCATCTGATAATTCAGATAACAGCGTGGTCCACTGTTGAGGCCACTCCCTTTTAATCATTTCTACTATTATGCGGGATAAGGCATCCTTTAAATGTGATAAATTTTTATCTTCGGCAGGTCCCACCCCTAAAAGCAGCAATTTCATCGCATTTTCTTTAATAAATAATTTTTCTTCGTGGGATATACAATTCCATTTAAATTTGATAGTATATTCCATGAGTTGCAAACCAAAATGTTTAACATTTTGCCCGAATTGCCCACCACTGGCCAAAAATAAACCAACATGTGCACATAACGGCGATTCCTCCTTAAAACGTTCACAAGCCATGTAAGCTTCCATTCGTGCCTGCTGAGCCGTTTGAGGGTGCATTATTAATTCGACTGCTTTGGCTAATTCTTCAGCCAAAGCAGCCACTGCAGCATGTTGGGTCATAGCGTTATAAAGAGAAGTTGATAATGCAGAAACGTCTCTATACTTTTCTTTTTCTAAGAATTTCACAAATCTTTTAGCTCTTACAAAGAAAAAAAAACGCGTGCTGCAGTTTATCTTTCTTTCTACTCGAATTATTCTTCCTCTTGTTACTTTCGTTTTGTATCGTTTTTTTTTTTTCAAACCTTGTACACAAGTTCTTTTTATTTACAGAACTTCAATTAATCTTTTCATGATATTTGTACCTTTTCTCATGCTCTATAAGAACAATATAATTAAATTTGTTCAAAAAATTTCTTCCTATTAAAATTCCCCATAAAAACCAGAAAGCAGCACAGAAGAAATAGTAAAAAATACATACAGTAAGTAAATCATAGGGTTGCCAGAATTAAACTTTGACTACATAATAATTTCAAAATTATTTAGTGCAAAAATTCAATTATATCTAAGGCATACATCACCACTAATAATATCATATATACTATGCAAGTGAAAAAATTCGTTGTTTACCATTCACAGTGCAAACAATGTTTTTGACCACATTAAACTTGTTAACTCTACGGACAGTTTACCGGCATTCAAAGTGTAGTGTTGGAAAGAGTTTCTCTTTACTCGTGCCATTTATTTCAATAAATAAGTGTGTAGAGTTCTTTAGTAAGTTAAAATATAAACCAAAGCTCATTCTTACATAAAATTCTCAAGTTTTCAATAACACTGAAAAATACTTCACAAAAAAAATATTTTAGTATTTTTAAAATCATCTTCTATGAGAAAAAATATTTTCAACAAAATTTAATCATTCACCAACAATACGCCTCATTAATAATTGTAAAGAACGTAGGGAAACAACGTTTGTGTAGCGCGGTGGAACGTGAATATTTAGCTAGGAAAAAGGGTGAAGAATATTATATTTGAAGTGACTTTTAGGAAATCCTTGCAATTATGGAGTGGTATGAAATAGAAGTTGATGGCAAACACACAGTGAAATTTGACGAATTGGAATTTCCGACGTATAGTTCTTCAGGAGCGCCAGCCCTGATTGATGGCAATACTATGAATGGTTAGGAAAAAAAGTTTGTAAAGAAAACAATCTTTTATAAAATATATTATTTTTCAGTAAAAAGAATTGGTGGCATTTTACAGCAAGACAATTGGGCTTGGCTCGCCCGGAGTAATGTCTTACAAATAATTGCTTTGGGTAGTGCACAAACCGTATGCACTTATGAATTTACAGAATTGCATGGATATGAAAACTCTTGCATTAAATGTGTGGAGGAATTGTTCCATAATAATTTTAAGTCTTTGCTTTTAGCGGTAGTTCTGGAAAGATATCATATCATCGGCAGTGCCACTGCCAGTTATATATCCGTCTTCTCTTTGGAAACGAAAAGTGTTTTAAGTACCATTGAGCTATCATTACATATCACTTGCGCTCGTTTCGTTGGGCCCTTAGCTTGCCGTCGCACGCTACTGCAAAATTTTGATGGATGCCTGGCACTTGGTAGCGAAGAAGGTGCGCTGATATTATTAGGTATGAATAAACCTAAAATTATGGTTCTTGCCTGTGAGGAGGAGGATACTTTTGTTCCCTGTCAGATTGTTGACTACAATCTACCGCTAACGGAAATTCACCGTCACTTCCGCAATTGTCAGAAGGAAGGCATACATTTGGGACTGCAAGTCGAAGGTGAGTGGACATATGCATTTATTTTTGAAATTGCCTATAAAATTCAGTTAACATTCTTGTAAGCTACGTCATATCGTAACCCTTAATTATATTTTTTAACTTGATAAAGTCGTTCGACTTTCGGGTCGGGTTTTTATAAAACGAAGGAAAGCATGTTCTGGCTTTTCTTAAGGGTCGCCTGACTGAGTGTTTAAAATAAATACAATTTAATTTCATTTATATTTATTTAGTTTAAACTTCAGACTTGACTTCGGAAAAATTTTACTTCATTGTATAAATTACTTATGTCTTCAAAGACCGGTAGGCATTTGTACATCCAACATTCCGCAAATTGTGTAAGATAGGTCGTCCCCGTCATCCATCATCGTTGTATCCCATTGTGGCAATTGCTCAGATTGCAGTATATAGGGCGGCATGTAGTTATAATATTGGTTTTGGCCTTGTGATGACGATGAAATGCTTGCATAATTTTCTGCTTCATCATCGACTTCTTGCTGATTGTCGTTTTTATCTTCTTTATATCCAGCGTCATTTTGAGTGTCGTCGTCATCAGTAATGTATTCCACTTGAGATGTGTGCAGAGATTTTAAATTTGCTGTAGCCGCATGTGATCTGTGCGCACGCAACAATATAACTTTCTGTACATGCTTGGGTAATATCTTTTTGATATTATGTTGTGTATGTAAATGTTTGACTATATTCGTGCGATGCAATTGCACATAATTGCACAGGCTGCAGTAGAAGGCCTCGATTTGTGTTGCCTTCTGATCAAAGACATGCTCTTGCACTATATTACCAGGGCAAGATTGCTTATGATGTGAAATTAGAGAAATTAGGGAACGTGTTGGTTTGCGTACACCACAGCCAGTACACCTGTAAGTATATTCTCCTGTATGCATCGTGAAATGATGGTACCAATAGAGCAGCATAAAACGCGATCGTTTCGAACAGAATGCACAGGTTGCCTCGTATTGATGTTTGCCCTTCTTGTACGTGCTTACTGTTGCCAAATTGAGATTAGTATGTTGTAACTGCAGAATACGGGAGAAAGTTAGGCGGGAAGTGTATATTTCACAGCCAGGATGCCAGTTTACGTAATGTTGGACAATGCGCAGAGCGTTCAGTTTACAAATGACGCAAACATCTTTATTTCTGCCATTCACATGCATATCAATGTCCGTATTTTTGGGCCAACGACTAGAGGTGGCAGTCGTTGCCTCATCATTTGGCCATCCACCAATTGTAATGAATTCATCTTCAGTACAATGTGGTTGCCGCGTTTGTTCAAAATCAAATTTTGTAGTTTGCTGCTTTAGTGAGGTGTTTTTTTTTCCGTTTTTTGATTTTTGATATTTTTTGGAATATTGTGACGTTGAAGAACTTGTACTAGTACAGATATAATGCTGCAATAATTGTTCCGGATCATTGTATTCGTCATCGTAATTAACATCGTTGACGTTCTTTGTCTTTCGCTTGTCTTCATTTATGACTCCATTTGTTTCTGAATTTTCAATATTTTCTATCCAAGTGGCTTGTAGTAAGTCTTCCGCGTCGTTTACTGGTGCATATTGACCAATAAGAGCTGTAGAATCGTCATTATTTAAACGTACCCGCTTAGAAATCGCTATCAAGGAAAGAGGAAAAGGAAGATGAATAATATGATCTAAAGTAACATAAGCTCTTACCTTTCTCTTGATCATTACTACTTTCTTCCATTGTTGCGCCTTCGTCTATAGTCTTGGTGAAAGTCTGAATAAAAGCGCTTTCGAACGATTTCACTTGTTGTTCGCGCTGCCTTTTCGCCTCTAAACGTTTCTGCTCAATCTTTTGTTGTATCTTCGCATCAGCTTGAGCCTTTGCCTGACGTTCCTCTATTAATTGTGTTGTTTCGTTATCGTAATTATCATTATCCATATCGAATTCGATTAAATCTTCATTGTAACTGAAATTGCTGTCATAACGTTTGGTACGTTTAGTACGCAATGAACGTTTACGTTCTTCGCCATTGTTTTCCTGGGATGGGTTCTCCATATATATCGGTTGAGATGGCACATATTCATCTTCATCATCGTCATCATTTGTGTGACGTTTACGGTTTGTGGTGGCGGTGGTTAGTGTTGAAGTGACTGGATTTACAACTTTCGCGTAGCTTTCTACATTAATTGCCGCCGATGGTAGCGCTATGTCTTCTATATCAGAATTGAAATGCCAGGTTTTTAAGGTCGCCCGTCCACCGGCGGCATGGGTCATAAGTGTCACTGGTTTTCTGTTGATTCCACCATCACTGCCAACGCAGGTAAGTTCGGAAAACCGTTTGCCACAAGTCGTCACTCCCCCATTTGCCGAAGATTTGAAAAATAGTGTGGCCAATTCTTTTAACAAAGTGGTCTCTATGTAATCCTTGGCAGTATGGGCCTGCGTATTTAAATTGGCACGAAGCGCTTTAATGCGCATAAAATCTTTGTATCGTAGTACCCTTTGGAGCAGAACGAAACACGAATGCGAAGCTATTAACTGAGCGTTGGAAAATTGAAGAACGAAATGCTTTAACCAGCGTACAGAATTTTCCTTTGAAGCCTGCTCATCCGGTGACGGACTTCGTAACCCGGGTGGATTACCATAGAAAGCGTTCGGAATGATAACGTTTTTATTCGATAGTAAAGCGGAGAAGGCAGCTGGTTGAACCCCGAACGCAGCAGTTGGTTGTAGTTGGACGGCATTTAGGAAATTCGACTGAGGCGTAGGCTTCAATAATGGGCGACTAACTGCCTTATAGCGCAGATTTCTTTGAAATTGATTGCTAAGAGGGAGTGTGCTGGTCATATTGCTCATCGATGTCTGCCCCTGTACCTTATTGTTGGTAGTTAATAAAGTGCGTTTCTTAACAAATAATCTCGTTTGTTCTTCATCATCAGAGCTGTCCAATAAATCTATTGTATCGAGCACTGTCACGTCCGATTCATTCGATATTGGAGTTGCGCTTCTTTGCGACAAATTGTGGAAAGTTGGCTTAGTTTTGTTTTGTGTGCTTCCGATACGGGCGGTAGCGGTAGCGGACAAAGTGGTGGCCATGATATTTGATTTGCTAGGAAATTGCTGTTTAGCAGTGGACTTTCTAGCGTTGGTCCGTGTTATTGTGATATTTTTCGACACTGATACCGTTGCCGTGGGAGTCGTTATAATTTGTTTACTGGGACTTCGCCTAATAGTGGATGCTTGTTCCTTTAATCTTTCATTCTCCTCAAGATCATCATCATTATCGTCATCATCTGATTCAATGCATATGGGTGAGTTACGATTTTCAATGATCTGTACTTCATCTTCATCATCATCGTCTTCGGCAATAAGATTTATGCTCTCGATTTTGTTAACTGCTTGGCTGTCCTTAGTTGATGTTTCATTATCTAAACAATTTAAAGGATCTTCGTGGAAGTTGTTTAAATTATGCTCTTGGCTATCATTGCTACCCTCTTCAAGAGATATCACCTCCGATTCTTGAGCTGCAGTTGAAGTCTTTATTCGCTCGTCTGTTGCTTCACCACTTTTTTGATTGTCATAATTAACGCCATGTCTTGTGGTTTCCAATAAATTATCATCATCAATCTCTCGCACGCCATTCTTTGTTTTCGCTTCTGTAACGACGCCTTGATTATCTTTATCGTGGGCGGCTGTTGTTACTCCTATTGATTCGTGAGGTAATATCATTTCTTCTTCATCATCTTCATCTGGTATTTCAATGTCTTCTACATTCTCTAAGGCTTCATCTCCTTCAGATTCCCTTCGAATTTCCGAGCATTCGACTCGTTTTCCGTTTACTGTGCTACAAGCGACTTCTACGGCCGACCTTATATTATTGTTATCGTTAACGGACACAGCAGGTTGTGGGTTTGGAATCACTTTCACTATGGTTTCTTTATCACGTTTATCCTTCATTTTATTTGCAGCAAGCAAACCTTCTGAGATATTCTCTAGCTTGTTCTTTATATGCTCCAGAACACCTTTGACAGTCAAAGAATCCCGCTCATTATCCTCTGACTCGATTTCATTTACCTCAACTCCAGCATACTTTTCTTTTACATTTACTGCTAGCTTTGTTGTTACTCCAGGATTAACTACTCCATAAGGTGTAAGCAAATTTTCTTCTGTACTTTTGGTTTCAGTTTTCGTAGTTTGATTAGAAAGACATTCGCTTGGAATATTTTCTTTCTCCTTTTCTTCGGTCGGACTTTTAACCAAACTATCCACTAATTTTTTTCCCTTATGAATATAAATCATCGAGTTTTCCGCAGATATTTTTGTCGAATCTTTTCCAATTTTACTCTTTTCATTTTCAAATTTCAAGTGGTCTTTATTTAAACTTCGCTCTCCACTGCCCACACATTCTCCATTTTCAATCGCTTCTTCGTTTGAGTTTCCATTTATAGTTTTCTTGTCCTTATTTCGTTTCATTTTATCAATTTTCGTACTTTGTAAATTTTCATGGGAGGTATTTGTTCCTTGCGCAAGAGGACAATGCTCATCCTTCTCAAGCACGTTTTCTTGTGTTTTACGTCTCGACGTAGGCTTATGTTCGTTTTGATTTGGTATTGGACTTGTTTTTGACAAATATTCGGCGTCTTCGTCTAATGATCTGCCCGCAGATGTCAAATTATTTGCTTCTTTTCCCAACGTTAAAACCTCTTTTGTCTTCTCTGGTGATAATGATTTGGATTTTTCCGAATTTTTAATTTCTTTCGCATTTGTCATAATTTCAATATCGACTTTATTACAGACGCCTCCATCTATTTGTTGTGTCAGTGATGAACATGTGGAGTTCGCTCTCGTCATCGATGCTGAGGGCGGTGTTTTCTGACAATCTTTATGCTTCTCTCCATTGACTTTTTTGTCCTCAATATTCAATTGCGTTTCTTGTTCTGGTTTCATCAGTTCGTTTTGCTCCAATGTCAGAGTTTGTCCTTTTTGTTTTTTCATGGAATTTTTTTTCTCTTCAAATAGTTTAATTGTTTTGTTTTCGCCGCTTAGGGAAGAACAATATTTGTTATCCTCCATTAGAGTGAACGATTCTGCAAAAAACTGAATTTGTCCAAATCATTAGTGTTCAAATTTGTTTAAGATTTTGTTTTAGTTCCATTTTTTCCTACTCTTTTCGCAACAACTCCAATAAAATTTCGTTTATGCTGAAGAGATTAAAAAAGTTCTTTGCCTCGAATAGTACGAGTTGTCAAAAGGGGAAACTTCCATTAAGGAGATCAGAAACGTAACCCTAATTTGTCGGAAAACTTTCTTTTTGAGTGAATTTCGACACGTACTACTTTGGTTTATATGGATGTACGCATTATCGAAAGCAAAAAGTTGGCCAAATTAGCCGCATAGTCTGTAGCATCTTGGAGTACGCATTAGAGAACATAGGAACACTTGTCAGCAGTGGGAATTTGCAAGCTCAAAAAAACTGAATTCAGCTCGTAGAAAAAATATTCCATAGTGTGTGTGAAAAGTATCTTATATTTATAATGCAATTAGATTATGATAACCAGAATTTACGCATTTTTTTTTTTTTTTTTTTTTTTTTTTTGGGAGAAAAAGGCTGCTCGCAAAAAGGATTAGAGTAAGTTTTTTTTACCTAATTCCAGTCCAAATATAAATATAACTGACTTTCGGAACCGGATTTTTTTATATATAAAAAGCCGTGGTTGTACATTCGCAGCACATACCCTCATATTTAATTGTAGACTTAAAGCGACTAAAGGTCCAACTTAGCATCAGGAAAAGAAAAAAAGAACCAATATAATGATCGCATTAGATTTACAATCGGGTATAAATATTAACCTGAATTGCCTAACTGGCATGCCCGCAAATTCAGGTATAACGAAGACATAGTGGAAGCAAAGCAATCTGCTTTGATTTACGGTTGTAGGACAGCGTGCGGTAGCAACTAAATTTGTCCACCCATAGATTATTCGAGAACTTCTGGAAGACATTGTTCAAAGTGCAGTTTTATTCTATGGAAAAACCTTTTCCCCTTTAAGTAGTTATTTAACAAAAAGTTTAACCTAAAATGTTTTCATAAGAATTATGTCTATTTCGTTATTAAAAGCCATTAAATTCGAACTGCTGAAAATTTTAGATAATAAGGTACAGTGGGTTAGGAGGCACAAAAAATAGATCGTAAATTTACATAGAAAATACGAAAAAGAATACAAACTAAATTGCTCTGTAATTGATAAACAATGTATAAAGGTGCATAAAAGTTTCTTTAGCTTAATTTTTTACCACCGATGTTTTTATATTATATTTAGGGGACGACCACACAAGGACAATTGGACCAAAAATGGAATTGCCAAGTAATAGTGGAGGGAGGGAGGTTGACGTATACATTCTGTAGAAAGGAGGGGATATAGTAATCCAGTTATTTCATTTATAATATTTCGCAGACCTTCTAAAGGTCGTGTGGATATCGTGATTTATAAGTAAGATTTTGTTTTGTTTAAATCGCATATATTTCAAAATTGTTTGCGTTCTCAAAGAGGACAAAAAGCTGTTCTTTTCTTTTATAAATTTCATAATGTCCGACTAAGGTCGAATTATGATCAGTTAAAGCATGAATTTTGCAGTATCCTTGGATCTTAATCGAGAATGATCAATTCTTAACCGTCATTGTAAAAATATGGGCGAAAGAATGAATCCACAGTCGAAACAAAAACGACAATATTTTAAAATTTTTCTCATCAATTTCTTTAAACTGCAGTGTCTTATAAATTAAATGAAAAATTATAACGAAATATTTCTTAAAAAAAACTATATTTAAATATCTTTACTACATAATTTAAAAAAAATAAATTCTTTTCTTGTTACACTTGAAAATTGAACATTATATTAAAACTCTCAGAAATTAATTTATATCATGATAAATTATTTTAAACGAATATTTAAAAATCTTCCTTTTTATGTTTATTTAGTAACATTTTTCACCACTTTACCCAATGTAACTTTTATATGCAGTCGTTGGGCTATGCAAAGAAAAAATTTTTTTAAGTCTTAAACACATTAGCAAGCACACATCACATATTTACTTTTCTACAATAGTACATACAATAGGACGATGTTCGAAGCCTACTTTCTGATAATCAAAAATAAAATATCGCACAGTTATTGGATTAATTTTTATAATTTGATGGCAGCACGCACACAGTGTGCTGCTGCACTGTTACTTTAATCACTTTGAAAGAATTGTAATTGTCAAAATATAAAATGACAACCGCACGGTCGGCAAAGTTTCGCAAACATCCAAAGTAGAGAACACTCAATAGGAAACACAATATTCGCTTAAATAGGGTTAAAGAAAAAAAATAGAAAAAATTGGACACGGCGCTTGCTGTTATACAAATGCACTACTATTTTACACATTAGTAAATTTTGTCCTCTTGTTCAACTTCTATCACTTAATTTTCTAACAGAGTTGTATGCAGAGAGAAACCGTATATCTTTTAGAACCACGCGCAAACACTAACAAAAATATTTTCATAAATCGTTTTTGGTAATTATCTCATTAGAGTAGAAATGATTTTCATTAAAATAATTTAAAAATTGTATGATTGTTTGAGTAACTATTTTATTTCTAAACACTCTTTCTTGGCAAGAACAAGCATGGATTATTATTGAACAAGTGTATGCAGAGTGTACTTTATTTCTCTCAGTGCTTTTCGTATAGGTAAAGGTACTAAAAAAATGAAATTACCAGAGTTGCTGAAGTGCTATCACATTTCATATAAGCACAGCGGCATTTTAATAAATCCTACACAGACACACAAATTGATATAAATGACTTTTTTGATTTATTTATTATTCGTCTAACAAATAAAGCGTTTCTGTTTATTAATGATGATAATGGCAAACAGAGTACACTATATTAATTGGATGCGTAGGGTATTTGGTTTAATTAAATTTATATAACGGAGAAATTGACATCAAATTACCAGGGCTGCCAAATTTTTTCTATGTGTATACACATTATATCTTATGTTTATATGCATATATGTAATGCATATATACGCAATAAATCCTATATATATGGTATGCATGTTTTCTGTACATTACACAAACTAGTTTTGCAGGATAATTCAATTCATGTTATACAAAAATCTCGTACCGTGTTCGGTCGGTATAAAAAAGAGGCACCAAATATTTGCGTCATATATGTACATACACGTTGATATGCTAATGACTATAATTGCACTCTTCCTATATCAAGTATGTTAACTTATTGCATACGCTTATAACTAGAAATAGAACCTGAAAAACATTTTATTACTTGAATAAGCGATTTATAACAAGTTTAGGCAAGTCTATAGAGCAAAAGTAGGTTTTTCAAATTAAAATTAACTGCACAAATTTTTTTCCCACGCAAAACCAGTAATCAGAGTATATTAATTCTAAATGGAAATATCAGTCCAGTAGGAGCCAGTTTTCAACGCGAGCGAGAAATCGGCAGTGTGTCCTAAGCTCTACCTCGGCCGTGAAAATTAAAATTGGAAACTACAACTAACTTTTTTTTTTTAATTAAACGACTAATCCTATATAAATCCTAAATATATGTATAGAAGATAGTATGTCAATAAAATATTCCAGTTTATTAAAACGACTAAACTAAATCAATATTCTCAGTTTTTATATAGTTATCACCGAAGGATGGGGGATGTATTTATTTTGTCAAAACATTTGCAACGCCTAGTAGGAAACTTCAGACATTCCACAAAATATATACATATTTGAACGGTATGAAATTTCGATTCGATTTAAGCATGTCTTCCTGTTCGTCTGCGTGATATCCGTTATTAATATTCTCCTGAAAAACTGGGTTGTTTTGCACGTAGGATGATATTGAAGCTAGACCAAACGGTCGATAGACACGCCTGTAGTTCTACGTAAAGTGAGAACGATTCAGTTTTAAATAAGAAATAAAAAATTGTTTTTTTACTCATTACTCTCAAATTACAGCAGGTAAATCTATAGATATTTAAGCATATATTCTACTGTACTTGTACCAAAAATGGGCAGAATTGATTACGCCTACCCAATATCATTGCGTATCAGTTCTATATTTTTTTTCAAGACCTTTAAAGCGCACAAAAGCGAGCTTCAAAAAACCTTTAAAGTGTGCACATCCATGATCGGCGTCATATCCGGAATGCACATATGTTTGTCTGCCCAACTGTGTAGTATCTGCGGTAAGGACTCTTCCGTTCGAAAAAAAAAATATCGCAAAAGAATTTGAAAATCCAGTCAAAACGTACAGCTGCAACGCCCTCAGATCTGCATGCACTAGAAACTGAGAACGCTCTTGTTTTACATTTTTTTGCTCATTACTCATAAAGTACACAGATGCAAGGTACAAAATTCCAATTTTCCATTCCAATTCCAAAACAAGCCACGCCCATCCAACAATATGGAACATGAAAGTTTAGTTTTTCCTGTTCTTTACTATTTTTTTTTTTTTTTATAAAGCCGATAATCTTAGCTATGCCTAGTAGTGCTCATCTCACCTGCAGAGAAAAAAAAATTGTAATAATATATTGGATAAGCGAAAAAAACAATAATTAAAAAAAATTCTTTATTATACATTTATCCGTGTATACCCGGATCATCTACCATATAAAACTTTTATACCCATTATTTGCAACGTACAAAAGTGCTTATCCGACAACCCATAAAGCTAATGCACTCTTCATAGGCATGAATAGCGGCGCAGTTTTCTATAAGCTTACTTCTTTAGCTCACTTATTCTAAGTGAGGTTAAGTTGAAAAATGAGTAAAATCAATCCACACTACTTATGTTCTATCTGCCTTTGTTTTAAATTATGAGTTCAAAACCTCATTTAGAACTGTAATTCTAGTCTTGAATGTGTTTTATTGAAATGTCCACAACACGTTCGAACATCAGTTGAGATGACCTTAATTTCTCTTCTACAGCTTTTGATAGTCCTTGTAGTATAAAGTCCTTATTACCTCTTGACATAAGTATGGGATTGGCGGTTGGTTTAGAGGATGGACGTTTGCTGTGCTATGACTTGGCGGAATTGCAAATTTATTATGTGGTCCAGCCTCCGTCTGGTATATGCAACTTGGTTAAAATGGACTACTTGGAGCCCTTGGACGATCCTCGACCTTGTTTTTATATACTAGCCTTGTATGATAATGGAAAAAATTTATATGCTCTTCTGCATACTCTGATGTTTGAGAAACGTTTAATAGACGAAGAAGCGGCACATTATTTTGAGGTAAAAATTGACATATATTTGAAAATTTCCACATATAAAAAATCATTTTTTATTTATCAGATCTTCCGAAATGGCGCAATAAGCTTGCAATTACCATTGGAGGAAACTAATTGCATTGCTTTGACTTGTCAATCTATTGCCACCGCCGTTCATAACGAAGAGGATTCGAAACGTTTATTTGCGATATCCTGGCATTCGATAATTGATGAGAAAAACAAATTATTACTCTTCGATCTCAATCAGTGGTATAAGGATGAGATGCCATTTGCTTTTGAATATAATCAACAACCGAATTATCTCGCTGGGTATATGTTAAGCGGTTGCTGTAACGGTCTGCAGACGTGGCTTAATTCAACCACGATACATTATTTTAATTCTGTGCAACGATATGAAGAGCATTTCTATCCCAACGCTTTAAGTTTTGGTAAGATTTACTTCAATTTATATATAAATAAAAATAAAAAAAATTTTTTCATTTATTTTTATTACTATTTACATAGATTGTTGCTTGTTGCACATGAATGGCAGTCGTCGTTATAATTGGGAAGGTGTTCAAAATAGAATAATTAATATTTTAAGATCAAGCAGCGCTTCTATATTTCTGGATCCCAATGTTTATTTTAACAAAATAATCGACACTCGCTTGACACCACAATTCACCGAACTAAATGTAAATTTTACATATTCTAGGGTAAGCTTACAAGGATAAATATCAATTTATTTTTTTATATTGCTTAAGCAGCGTATGTTTTGCTAAACTTCATTGCTATAAACAAGTCTATGTGGCGTCGTTTGACGTCGCCTTCACTTTCCTGTCATCATTTACTTTTGTCTATGTGTGGATGGGCATTAGAAGATTTTATTAATACATATCATTAGAAACATGTCGATAGAATGAATCTAAAGCTTAATCCAACATATGTGTTATCAATGGCAACCCATTGATATTATCGGCGATAATGCTAGTGCTACTTTAAGAGCAAATGAGAAAATCGCTCGCATAATTATCGCGAAAACTTGTATCTATAACGGATTGTATTAATTGATCTCAACTTTCGCTTTCGCATAGGCAAGCCTTTCTTAGCCGCAAACACTTTTTCAAATTCTGGAAATACTTAAAATTTCTCGATATTGTAGGAGGTGAAGGCAAAACCCTATTCCACCTTTCCATCACTTTCTTGCATCGGTAAATTGGTTCTATTTCCGATGCGGGTAGAGTGTACTCTGTTTATTTTTTGTATTTTTTGTATTTTTTTTTTTGATAAATTTTCAGAGCGCAAAATATGAAGTCATTCTATCAGTTGCTTTGGAACATAATTGTTTTAATTTATTACGCGATTGTGCCAAATGTTGGAGGGATGGTAGTTTTTTGGGCAGCGAGACGGCCTCTACAGGTCTTTCGTCATCTACTCTAACAGACTGGATTTGGCGTCGAGCTACCAATATAAAAACTCGTTGCAATAGAATTTGTACAGGTATTTTTCAGTATGCCGGTTACACTTTGGACGAGCGTGAACGAAAAGAGTTGACTTGTATAACTAGACAACTAAAATTGTTGGGTAATCTTTTAGAAGAAGTATTTAAATTTTCCCGCCGTCAAATGCCAGAAAAAGGTAAATTGCGCCTTTTTTTTTTTTTTTTTTGTTTTCTTTTTACTTTTTAAAAATATCGGAAAAATTTAATTAATTAATTTAACGTGTTTCAGTTTTGGCCAATCTGGAAGGAAAACACAAGTCGATACGTATGGCGTCTGATTATCATAATGTATTGATAGGGTTTTTAGATATAGGTATTTTACCGAAAGCTTCTTTTTATAAAAACAGCATTGAAGGAGCATCTTATTATCCATATAACCAATTGAAAGAATTTTATAAGACAAGGCGTTCATTTTTCGGAAAAATCTCTGAAAATTACTTAGTGAAGAAAACGGGCGCTTGTCGTCTCCTGTACATAGATGCCTTGATTGAGCACGAATGTCAAAGCAATGTATTACAAGAATACTGGTTAGAGGATCAAGGTGATGGTCTTTATCCCCCGTCAACAATTGAAGGCATATTGCGTGTTATGCTGGTACCGGATATGCATTATGAGCATAAGTGCGCGATATTGGTGTATTTTCTTTTGGATTTGAATATGGTCATCGAAGAAGAAATCTGCATGATTGTTTTTAAACTTTCAGAATCACTTATCAAAACAGTGCAATCATTTTGGAATCTAGATCGTGGACACTTAGTGGTAAGTATACGAATCTTGCACACATCAATTTGTGCTCACTTAAAAAAAAAAGGAAAAATGATAAATAAGACTATAAAAGGTGTTGAAGGCTCGAACATTTAATTACCGTTAAATTTAATTACTATTATTTTCTTGTAATTATTTATTAAAAAACAATAGGCTGCTGTGGATGGATTTACATCGCCAGTTAGCACAAATGAAGGTTATCCTCAGTGGCTTGTTGAGTTGCTTATCGAGGCTTTACTTAGTCAGCGAAGTACTAACATGGCTTTACGTATTTTGCAATCTCAGTCCTATGTAATATCGCCAAGCTTAAAACTCCGTACCCTGTTGGCTAACAGACTGATATCGGAGGCTTTCAATTATGTACGTTCCAAAAATGATGACACCTTACTTCAGTTTTTCTTTAACTCTTGTCTGCATAACGGTCAATTTGGTGTCATTTGCGGTCTAACATTAAATGAAAAAGAAGAGTTGATCTTACAAGATATATTAAAGGAAAGCAAACTGTGCGGGGCTAAGAGCTTGCATTTTGTCTATCTTCTACAAAAGTCAAAATATATCGAGGCGGTTTCGTATATGAACGAATTGGCTAAAAGTAAAGGTTCACATGTATCGGATCGTATCGTGCCGCTGGTGGATACTCCTAATTTAATGTTATCGGCTTTTAACACAGCTATGGGTCTGGTAACACATGGTTTGCCAGATGTTTATTTTAAAATCAAAAATAAACTCAAACAGAAAGAGTTTAACAACAACAGTCCCGTGCCGTTCAGTTGTCAACTTATCAAACAAAATGCCAACAATTTATTAGGCGGTGTTTATCACAGTTCAGTCTTAAGTGCTCACTTTGCTACCTATTATTGGGGTGAAATGGATGATCAAAGACAAGATGAGCCTGCACAAGCAATGAATAGAAATAATGCTACGTTTTTCCGGCGACCTCAAATGCAAAGCCATACTCAAGGTTTGAGAACACAGAATAACATTTCCTACCCTCAGGTATACAAGCCCACCAATAAACGTAGGTATGTTGAGAGTGACTTGCACGAAGACTCTCTTCTCATGGATCGAGGTAATCCCAACAAGCGTAAACGTCACGAGGTAATAAGAGAATTAAACGATATTACGCAGAGTCAACGCAGAAGCAAAGAGACAAACATCACTAATTGCAATTTTACAGCAATTGAGGGGGACGACGATATGTTATCTAGTAACGAAGAAGCCGAAAATTTTCTTAAAGAAACTTTAGTAACAGTAAAGAAAACTGAAACTACGAACGTAACTGAAAAGCAACCATTAGTTGAAATCCACAGTATACTGAAACCTAGTAAAGTTGAGTTGATCGATGGATCAATGGAAGAGGAAAAGAATTTACGCAATAACATACCTCATCTAACTTTTCTCGTTGAGGAAGATAAGCAGAAGGAAAACACGACCACAATCTCCGTAGACTCGAGCGAGGAATTCGATGATTATTTCTATTCTCCTTTGTCGTCTCAGCAGAATTCGGATCAGTCATTTAATGAATCTTCTAAGCTGGACATAGTAAACTCACAAACTTGTTTGAGTGGACCCCAGCGTAGGAAACCTTTGGCCCGGCTTTCAACGGAGAGTTTGGAAAAGTGTAAAACAACAGATTCATCCAAGACAGGACCGAATCAAACTGACCTAACTTACGCTACTGTTCCTGCCCGATTACAAATAAAAAGCAACGAAAAGCTGACATCAGAGTTAAGCGATATTGGTATTCTTTCACCACAAGTTGGTTCCAATGATTTACTTTTGCATAATCGACAAAATGATTTATCCCATGCCGCCGTTACAACGAACGACAAATGTGAGTTGAATAATTTTGCCTCCCAGGAAACTGCAACTAACGATGTTCCTATTTCGATCTGCGATCCAAATTCGGAAATGTTAGGATGTTCAAAATATTCTTTTACTAGTGAAAGTTCTATTTCAGTAAAGAGCTCAACAACCAAAACTCTCGCATCTGAAGTCTCGTCGTTCAAACTTGCTCAAACAGTTCGTAAGGGAAATACGGTAGTCATACCAGACAATACAACTTCCAGCAGCAGCGGATCCAATACAAATAATTCAAAGAAGTTCACTGCAGGGCAGGAGAGCGAAACGATGGAAACTACTTTGGGCATGACGACTTTTGACCTTTCAATTTTAGACACAACTACCACAGATCAATGCCAGCCTTCGCTAGCCACAGTTACCACAGGTGAAGAAGAAAATGTTGTAAAACGTAAACAACGAGATATCGAAGGTATTGCAGCTAGTCCACACGAAGAAGATATGGACGTCGCAAAGAGCGTATGCGAAGCAAGGGAAATGGAAGTAAAAGCGCTTAGTCCTCTTATTGTTGAATTTGAAAAGTTGCAACAAACTGGCGATAAGGAATTTGCGAAAAATGAAGACTACATTATATTATCGTCGTCTTCTTCTTCCACATCATTGCCAACATATAATAAGCAAGATGAAGAACTTTCTCAAAGTCTTGACCAACGATCCTGCAAACAGGTAAAAAAACGTTTCAAAGATTTTAATACCAAGGATATCAAAGAGGCAAATACTAATGAGGAAGAACTTATTGATACATATGAATATGAAGAAAACGCCATTGATTACGAATATTCTGAAGAAGAAGTACCATCAACAAATGGAAATGACAGCAATGAATATGTAGATTTTATAGGGGATTCTTCTCACTCCATGTCACGGAAAAAGCCAGAGAAAAGCGAAGATGGCGACAGTGATGATTATATAGAAGTTGTTGAGCAGTCATTTGAAAAATGCGATGCGTCTGAACACGTATCCTTTAGTTCCGTCGGAGAGAAAGGCGACAAAGTTCTAGCAGATCAAGTTTCTCTATCTTCTGAATCGCAAGAAGGTATCATAGCATGCCAGTCGAAGCCATTGAAACAAAAGGAAATTGAAAGTAATCAATTGGCTCAAATTTTTGTATCTTCTCGAGAATCGCAATTGTCACAATCGACTTTTGCAGCTCATGAAGAAGAAGAAAATACATTTGCTCAAGAACCGATGATAATATACTATGAAAATGACGATCAACAACTATTGCATTTAAATTCGTCGATAACAACTGAAACAATCATGCCATCAGGAGAGTCCATGTCTTCACCTTCAGAAACTGATATACAAATTAATGAACACATGGCCACGTCGACATTGCCGACAGATGATGTTGTACATCCGCTCTTAGATTTCGAATCTATGGCTGAAGTTGTTGATGTGCAAATTTTGGAACATGCGACTACGTCAACGTTAGGAGCAGACAGCAATGTGCAAGAACTTTCGGAAGTAGATAAAGTTGTTGCTTTGAATCCGTCAAACATAAATAGGCAAAAAATTGACTTGTTGAGAAGCTGTCAGATAGTAAAGGCTGAGACTGTCAGCGAAACCCCTGAGAAATCTGAATCAATGCACGCTCAATCGGACGGGGAAATTGCACAAAATTCCGAAATTGACGGCACGGAAATTACAAAAAAAGAAGAAGCTGAAATAATTAAAGAGAAATCATCTGTTGTATGCGAAGTCGAACAGAAAAGCAAAGTGGAAATTGAAGAATTGGCAGAAGTAGAGTGTGTTGATAAAGTTTCGTTGGAGGAAAATAAATTTGCAAAAAATTTAGAATGCGAAACCGAAAGCACCGGAACCGGAAAGAGCGATGCAATGGTGCAATGCTGCTCCGTATCTCTAGCATCAACCCAGACGTATCCTACCGACATATCAATTGCAACTTTTTCAGAATTTACAATTTCAATGAAAAGAGAGGTAGTGTCGTCTAAGGATGTTGAGAACCAAGAAGATAAGGTTGATGTTAAGACGCGCATTACAGCTATTCAACGGCAAATTGACAATTCCGCAACTGAGTTAAGTATGTCGTCTTCATTTAAAAGTTATGCTGGTGACTCTATGGAAAATATCGAACAAGCCGGAGAATCTTTCATAGGTTGTGACGATGAGGGTGAAGCACCGTCAATAGAAGGTATTGAAAATTCAATATTAAAGCAAGTTGAAAAACGGGAAGAAGCTGATGAAAGTATTAAATTGCCGGTTACGCCACGTCACTTATTAAGAGGATCTTCCGAGCCACCAAAGGAAGAAGAAAACAATACGTCTAATATTAGGATTCCTTGCAGTCGTGCTAAACGTGGTATATCATTGCCACCACAAAGTCAGGGGAAAACTACGGAGAATGAAAAAGGCAATGTTAATAGTCTGCATACAAAATCTTTGGATAATAAAAACAATGAGGGAATTGAAAATTTATCAGAGCAGAATAGTTCTTCTTATTATAATTTATTGCAGCCAATGGCGGTAAAAATTTCCGAAAGCCGTCAGTCGAATATATTGGTTCCCATACTTGAAGATCCACCTCTCGTAGATGCGCCTTCATCGCGAACGCGTTCACGTTTACGTCGCAGTTCAATAAATAGCGATTTGGACGTAAACTTGACAACATCAGATCATCGCATTCGCAGCACTTCTGCATCGAGCAATACGTCCGAACTAGCCCGTACACGTAAGAGGGCAAGGACTGGTAGCGTCAGCTCACAAACAGAATCAATTAGTTCTACTAAATCGAGGGATCGTAGGGCACGAAATGTAATGTCAACGCCAGAAGAAACTGATAGCATGCCAGGCTCTCCTAAACAAGCAGGCGCAAAAGGGAGCAGCGAAGAATTAAAAAGACAACACACGCAATCCCCTCTTTTGAAAACAGCAAGGAGACGACGAGCACAAAGTGTGGTATCATTACGAGAAGAAGAAATTGAAAGTACGCCAAAATCTCGTAAATCAACTGGTGCGAGGAGCACAAGTGCGGAGATTCTTTTAATTTCGGAAAGTGGTTTAGAACATTCGTCGGCGCGCCGATTGACACGTAATCAGTTAGCGGTGTTAGAAAAGTCAAAGAAGTTGGCTCAAATCTATAAAAAAGGTATCCAAGCAGAAGAAAAGTTGCGATATACAGCAACACAAACACCTGATAAACAATTCAAAAAAACGGGGTCTAACCGATCAACCGCTAGTTTGCAACAAGAAAGTGATGACAATGAATCAATAATATCGAAACGGAGCACTACTTCTAGCGTTGGACGTCGTAGGTCCAGAAGTGCCCTTAAGAAAAATGTAAGAATATAAGGAAAAGTTATATGAAAGAAATATTAATAATAATTCTTATCTTAATTGTTTGATCGAACATTAGGAGGGAATTGAAGACGATCAGATAAGTGTAACCAGTTCGATTGATAGCGAAACCCGTAATACGCCTTATAAGCTGCGTTCCAAAGACAAGAGTTTATCAATTACTCCACTAAAGGCCATATCAGAACATTGAAGCAAAGGTAAAAGTCTCCTATTCATAATATTATTTCTTTATATTACGAATAATCATTATATTTTCCCGCTCTGCCCGCAGCTACTACTACTACTACTACTACTACTACTACCACTACCACTACCACTACCACTACAGCAGGAAAACCTAGAAGAGGAACACCTGTCACCCAATAGGAAAGGAAAGGCTTCATTTCCGTCGATTTTGGTAATTTATTGCTTATGCGCTTATGCGCTTATGCTGTCGTTCTTGGGCTTGATATAAATGTTTGTGCATTAAATTTAAAATTAGTGAAGTGTGATTTTCTTTAAATCTCGTAAATAAACAACGTTGATGGTTATATCAAAGTTCGTTTTGTTTGTTGCCACTGCGGTGCCACTGCGGTGCGATGCTGATCGTTATTGAAAACTTTCCAATAAACAAAATCATGAAGCAAAACGAAGGAGTAGAATAAAAATGTACTGACTTTGTCATGTAATCATGTCTTGTAATGGATGATATCAAAGGCCTGCCCGGATTTTTGCTCTTCCTTTTGAGCTTCTTTTCGTAGCCTTCTCGTTTCAAATGATTCCAAATTGCCATGTGGTTGATGTTGCAGATGCTTCTGCTATTTCCTGACAGCTTGCGCGCGCTAGTTTTGCGCCTATCAATTGTAAAATTTCATCGACTTTTTTAATGACTGGCCGATCAGAGCGTGATGCATCTTTGGCATCGAAATTCCCGGGACAGAATCGAGCAAACCTACGTCCTTCTACGTCCTTCTGCCGATTTTTCGACTTGTATCACATCGCGTGTTTCTTCAGATATTTCAATCATTTTCAGATCAAGACAATTTTTTATACACGAGCAGAGAATCGGGAGACGGTGTATCTTTCCAAAAAATGTAAGCTCAAATGTCACCTTTTAAGGGCAATGTCTCGTTTAAGACAATTAGGTGAGTGCTGCCCGATATATAGGCGTCAACATCATCTAGTGGCAGAAAATCGCGGAGACCTTTTATATCACTCATTACTCGCATTTGATTTTTTTTGTAATTTTAACTATAGTTTAAGAATAATATTCTTAAAGTCAAGTGACCCTTGTAGGACTTTACCAATAAATTAATATTTGTTGTGTCTATGTCCGATTTTCGAGAGAATTTCTCCATTCAGAAACATTCAAATTGACGCACTTTTTATATCTTGCACCGTACACAGGGTATATTAAGTTTATGCCAAAGTATATAACATCCAGAATCATTTCGATTTAAGCTTGTCTGTCTATTCGTCGAGATTATTTCAATTAATATTTGGGATATTTCCACGAAATTTGGTGGACTGACTTTGGTTTTATGGCTGAGAGGGGAATTCTCTTGAAAATCAATAATTAATTAATATATGATTTAAATATTATTCATTGCAGAATATCTATTCTTTTATTTTATATTATTTAAAACTTATCATTATTTTCTTAATTTCTATGTTTTGTTTGGGAAGGCAAGCATTGTTAACAAACTTAGAATAGATTTTGTAATTTAAATTCTAGAAAGTAAGTGTGTTTCGTATAAAACTTTTACATTAACTTATATTAACAAACAAAGAATACTTTTACACTAACGTAGATAATTCATGCAATGAAGTGCTGGCGGCGACATTGCTCATATCTAAAGTCGGCGGTAGACCAGGACTCACAGAGCCACTAGTTTCACGTGCTACAACACCGCCGCCTCCCAATGTTGATAGGCAACCATTCGAAATAGGTTTGGGTGTTGGTGGTGTAGCGGTGGCAGGTCTCATTAGAAAGGAGGAACTTAACGTAGTTAAAGGATTAAAACTGCCATGCGAATGATTTGGGGATACCGGCGTTACAGGTGTCGGTTGCAGTAATATTGACGCGTTTGAGTGATTGAAATTCAAATGGCTTGGAGATAGGGGATGAGATAGAAACGGAGCTGGCGGTGTTATTGGCCCAATTTGCGATATTAGCGACATATGGTGGGAAGGATGATGATGGTGTAACGATGGGGTGCGATAACTAATGGTTTTCTCTTTTTGCCATACAAAGACATTATGCACCATAGCAGCGCCGCAGAACACAATACCTAAACCAATCAAAACACTTGTTATGATGGCTGGCGTGGAATGAAAATGATTGAATGTATATAAAATGATACCTGGAATGAAACGAAAAATTAACAGAGAAGGCCAACGTGAAATTGCTTTATAAGAAATAGTGGGCCACGTGGGTAACAAATAATTTTTATACTAAATGCAATGATATTGCGACTCACCAGTTAAAAAGATTGGTATGGATATAAAAAATCCACCCACCGCACAAGTACGACTGGTGCTTGATTTTTCCAAATAACGATTATCACTTTTATTTAGAACGAAAGTAGAGAAACGCTAAAACAATTTTCAAAAAATTTATGTAAATTCTACCTACCGCCCATCAAACATTGGCGATCTAACCAATTTAACGGCGAACAGGAACTGTATTGCACACACCAACAGACAGCATAGATTCAGAGATAACGACAAAGCGCACAGCGCCAATGTAACATCGTATACAATAACGAAATCCTCCGGTGAGCTACGCGTCAAAGCATCTTCTCTAGCATTTGGGGAAATTTTCAGCAGGAAAATTAAAGACAACAAAGCCAGAAGCAATGAAACTATTGAAAGTAAATGCAAAATGCGTTTAGTATTCTAAAGTTGCACAACTAATTTTTACCCAAGCAAAGCAGACCCAAACTGGTAAGTGCCTCTCTGGGGCCCGGGCCATGTTTGGACTGATTGATTAAACTTCCCGCGGGATTAGTGCAGTTCGTGTAATTGTTTTGATGATTGTTTGCATTCGATACTGTTGTCGTGTTATTGTTATTGTGATTGCCAATCACCGTACCGTTGGTATTAGTGTTAGCATTACTAACAGCAGCCGCTGTTGCTGCATGTGCCAATATATGCTGATTGGTGTAGGTGTGCAAATTATTCCCTATAGTGCTCAATCCATTTGGTGTTAAAGGGCCATGTATCTGGGTTATAGGTGTTGTGTTTGTGGTGTTCCCATTATTTGTGCCATTTCCTGGCACAGGCGGCGGTATCGCACCATTAGCAGAACTCGCAGCAGTTGCCGTTACCACACCAGTTGCCGTTGACACCGTCGCACCGCCAGTATTTGGTGATATATTCAATAAAGTCGTTATACGCGGTCCTCCATTCGCGGTGTTATTATTATGCGGGGCCCCTGATGAATTATTCTGCATCTGATTGCTTTGGCTCAGTGTCGATATGTTCAGTGGCTGCGGTGGCCTTAAGTGTATATTCCGGGCGGTTGTTGTACCGTTATTGCGCACTTGACCATTAGCTGGCCCGCCGGCCGTTGACGTATGTTTCAACATTAAGCCTTTTATGAATTTTTGTGCATGTACATAAAAGGTAGCTTGGCCTAGGGTTGCTAGAAAAAAGAAAAACAAGACCAAATTTTTTGTATTATAAGTGCGGGTCAGCGGAAAAGTCTTTGTTGCGCGGCAATTCGATCAATTCGTCTTCTCTTAAGATATACCAGATGTAAACATGAAACCGGAACATATCCAGATGATACACTACCTGAAATTGTACTATTTTGGATAACGTAGACATTCCAGCAAACACTCGAAATATGAATATATATCGGTGCGCAAAAATCTTTTGTCTAACAATGATGGGGAGCTTTGTGTCAAGCGAAAAGCATACATCGATAGCATTTTTGTTGTTGTTCGAACGATACAAAAGAGATTTTTTTTCGCATTGTATCTTAAACGAAGATGAAAAGTGAATCTATTCTGCCTCAAAAGAGCAACATTTTTTGGACGTGGCGTCCACAAATGGTCACAGATAGATAGGAAAAGGAATATATATATAGTCAACGATGAGCAATACTTTAAAAAAAAAAATATCCTCATAATTTTCATACAATTTTCTGCGTAAAAATTGCGGTTTCATGTTTACCTATCTGCTAAGTCGAATACCAAAAGATGGACATATATAATATGATCACTTTGTGATTTGTAGATTTTAACAATAACGGTTCAATCTTAGGATCAGCGTTCGAAAATAGAAATCCTCAGTCTCGGACTTGGCACAAGCCTCTATCTAAGATTGCCATACGTTCCCAGAAATTTTTACATAGAAATTGTATCATAAAGATAGTCTTTCAGTTGAATGTTCATGCAGTTGTTAATATACATTAGATTTGCTTTGACTTTTGATTTTTTAATACCCATTAGTTTTTGTTTTGCTTTCACTATAATGTGGCCTTTTTTGAAATATCATTCTTTGCTTTGTACATTTTCTAACTCCACGCTTATAGATTTCAGATGGAAGGCGCATTGTCTACTGCGCTTTGGTGCGTCCAATTTCAAATTCAGATTAAATATGCAAGATGAGCATAACTCATACATGAAATAGTTGACCAAAACGGTTGACTATTAAATACCGTACACTTTTTCGTGTAATAGAATTCTTGATATACATACTTTGTCATCTTGCCGTATGAAGATTGATTTCTTTTAAGATGGCGGCGCATAAGAAGAGGATTTCAATGAAAAGGTTTTATTTTATTCAAAAACTTTCCATTTTTGTCGAGGCATATTAAGAAGTTCATCGTTTGAATGAGTTGATAATATAAAGAGGTTTATATCAAGTCAGTTTAGATTTTGACTTAAATCTCTGCACCATAATTAGTATAGGATAGAAATATAGTAAGAGTTGATTTATAATCTTAGCATGACTATTGAAGAAAACCTTGTACAGAGAGAGAACTTTATACAAACAATATAACCTTAATCGGCTCACAGTGGAATGCTCCAAGGTAATCAGTTCCTCAAAGATATGTATATGCATATATATATATATATAAATAAATAAATAAATAAATAAATAAATAAATAAATAAAATAGTGTAATAGACATTCGAAGTGGGGAGCGCATTAACCATATAATATGTGATTGCATTAATTTTGATCATTCTTTAACTTGAAAATGGCATTTATTGAGAAAAACTAATCAAAATATATTCTTCCATCATCTTCCACAACTTTTGCCAATCTTTCTGGCAAAATGGTGATGCCGTGTCAGAAGAACTGGGAGCGATCCAAACATCGATGCATTTGCGCACTTCTTCCAGCCCATCCATGTCTCGCCATTGATGTGAACAAGTGGTAATCGGAGAGTGCAATGTCTAGGGAGGACGCTGGTTGCGGCAGAACTATCCGTTCGCGCTACAACAGTGCATCCTTGTCAAGAGGATGACTTTGCGTCTTTTTTACAACAGTGCATTGTTCAACTCGTTCAAATGACCTCAATAGACATCTGCATTAACAGTTTCATTCAGATTTGGCTACTCACAATGCACTAGACCCTGCCGATCGCACCCTGTGCGCAGCAAAACGTTATACCCAAGAATATTCCGTTACACCGTTAATGCAGATGGCTCTCCTGGGCTAACCCATGACTTTTTACGCTTGGGATTGCCGTAGTAGACCTACTTTTCGTCGCCTATTTTCAGTGGCAATACGCCACAGAAAACTCCTCCTTTCGTTTACCGCACAAGCGATGAAACTGCGATATGGAAATGAATGTCGAAAATGGAAAACTTTTTTATTTGATGTAGAGAGAGACCAAATCTAACGATTTTAACAGTTTTAACATTTTTACCATGGAGAAGTTGCTCCTGAAAATTAATGCGAGCAGATAAACACATACATACATGTTTATTGCATAATTAGTTAAGCGATGTTATGATTATGATACCGCACACACAGTTATTCCCCTCGTATGTGTGTTAAATGAGGATGTTCTCCTCTCTTCATCCTTTTTGGATAGTTAACATACGTCTGTCATGGCGATACAATGCAACAAATAACAAATAGGTTTTTCTCAGATACGTATCTAGAATATTTGATTATGGTTTCTTTAACAAAAATATTCGGAATGATGGGTTTTTCATATTCATGTGCCTGAGTGCATAAATACGTAATCGCATATGGGTCTCTCAAAACCCAAGAATAATAGTTTTCAATTGTGATGTGGTGTGACAGGTTGACGCTTGGACAATGCCGAGTGTAGCAGCCGAGCGCAAGTGCCGCAGAATTTTCAATAAAGCCGATAGCCTTAGGATGCTAGCGCCTTAAGACTTTTGTATCTAAGAATATATTCCTCTCGCTAAATTAATTATAATAATAATAATAATAATAATAATAATAATAATAATAGACATATTTGTGAATTATGGAACAAAAACGTTGAGAATGCGGTAAATAATAGTGCGTAACCGAAGGCGCGTTTTAGCAAGTTTTCATCTCGGAGTCTTGGCTATTACTATATATTACTTTTTTGTTAAGAAAAACAGAGTTGCTTTCAGTTTACGCTCAATTGCGGGCTTCTGTTCTGACCAATTTCGCTGCTTTTCAATATCAACCTACTTGCAAAGATGCGTAACGTTTCTACAAAATTTGAAGTTGCTATCTTCATTTTTGCGACCAGGAGAGTGCCAACAACAAACGCCACGCACGTACTCCGACGGACAGACATGGCTAAATCCACTCAGAATTTCCCGCTGTTCAAGAATATATACACCTTATAGGATTGCTGAAGCTTCCCGTTGGTTACGTTGTGAGAAACAACAATATGAGTGTACCCTCATTCTTCATCGGTCGATATAAGGAAGTCAAATCACGCCAGACCCACCCTTAAATGTCCCTCGCTCTCCGCCTAATATAAACCTTCATTTACTTTCGTAATAAAATGGTACAAATTTTACCTTCTCCTTATGCTGAAGCATAATTTTTATGAAGGGACCAAAAGTTAGATGAAATGGGTCAAAATTTCTTTAATTTTATATAAAAAGGCTTAGTTTTTCATGAGGACCCTTTATGGGGACTGGGACGTAAAAGTTCACGTATATAGTCCTTCCATTAGTCTGGTGTGTGGAGTATTTAATGTTTGCCTCTACCCTATCATAACGTTATTGCCTTTTTCCTTTTTTTTTTTGCACATTTTGCCGGTCACTTAGGAGATATCCCTATACATATATATATACATGCCGGCATTAAAATTGTTGGGAAAAATACTAAACAAAAGGAAATAGTGTTTGCGCACCTTCGAGTTGAAAGCGTAAACGTGCGGGAGGATAGGAATGATCATTGCAGGCAGACTGTTCCAGAGGCGGGAATTGCGAGAACGTAAAGAAGACTCGTTATTACATTGGAGGGCGATGACTGGCATGTCTGCTGTTACGAGGAATTGTCTTCACGGTCAAAGCAAAGACGGAAGTTATCCTTATAGACTTGATTTCCATATAAAGGCTTAGCTTTTCATGAGGACCCTCTTAACCGAATGGGACTTAAAAGTTGACATATATAGTCCTTCTATTTGTCTGTCCACATATTTTTGCATTCAACATGTCGCAATTTTTGAGAGAATTGAGAAAAACGCATTTGAACTTTTGTGATACGTTGTTGGTTGTGGTTTTCTTATTAAGAGAGATTTTTTATTATTCTCATACATTGGAGGGCAATCCTAGGACCATGAGACTGGCCTTTTCCCATTCTATTTCCCATTGCTTTCATGACCGCCGAAGCTCCCTTTTGAGTATTGCATATATGATGGAAAGAAACAAAATGAGTATACCGGCATCGTATAGTGGTGGGTATAAGAACACATCCCAAGCTTTCAATTTTTGTGTGCCTACAAATGAACAACAACAAATAGCTTGTAAAGAAATCCTTTAGTTCGTTAGAGAAGTTAGAAATGAATAGGTAAAACGTTAGACGGTGGCGGCTCATCAAATCTACTTAGGGCACAGTTGGTCTCTTCTGGAAAAGGCATAAAATTTAAAGAAAAATGGTTCTACAATGGCAATGAATTTTCTCCCAGAGATTCTAGAACATTGAAAGCATCTATTAAACGAGAAAAAAAAAAGAGTTATTTTGAAAAAAACTTGTAATGCGGTTAGCCCCTTAAGTTCTTTGAATTTTACACTTGAAAAATTTTTCTCTGCCTTGTGCCGGATATTTGTTTGTTGCTCATTATGTGTGCATTATTGATAGCTTTGTCAATTCTGCTGCAATTTGGCTGAAATTTTCATATGCCGCGCAAAAAAAATCGCATAAAAACAAGTTTGACTGCACTGTATTATATTAGAAGATGACATATTTCACATTTGCATAGGATGGGCACAGCACGCAGTAGCAGTCATTTAAAATGATACGTTACGCTTACATAGCACATGCTGCCATATTTTCTTTTTTCTATTGTAATAAGATTTACTCAATTTCGAATCCGGAGGCAACCAAATTAAGCAAACAAATAATGAAGATATCAAAAGATTCCCTCTAATCGAGAAATAATTTGTATTTATTTGTTGTTCAGTTTACATCTTTTTTTTTTTTTTTTTTTTTATTGTATCTTCAAAAA